TGCTCATCACTTTATCAGTATTAAGCTTACACACAAAAATTATCTGTTTTGGAGAACTCAGGTCGTTCCGTTTCTTGATGGACATGGTCTCATGTCGTTCGTCGATGGAACCAACCCCAATCCGCCACCTTATCTTCCCGTCGTCGAAGGTGGCTTGTCGGCGCCCAATCCCGATTACGCAACATGGTTTCGTCATGATCGGGCTCTTATGTCCACATTGATTTCTTCTCTCAGTGAAGAAGTTATGCACCTCGCCGTTGATTTCAGAACACTCTACTGCATTTAAAATCAGGGATCTTGGTGAACCATGTTTTTTATTTGGAATTGAGGCAATTAAATAAAATGATGGGATTTTACGTTGCCAACAAAGATACATGTAGGATATTCTAAAACATGCTGGAATGACAGACTGCAAGTCCTTGTCCACCCCAATTCCCACGACAAAATCCATCCCCATTGACGCAACTCCACATGATGATCCGACACAATACAGGAGTTTAGCGGGTGCATTACAGTATTTAACCATCACTCGTCCTGATCTATCCTTTGCAATCAATTAGTTATGTCAACACATGCATGCTCCTACAGCTACTCACTGGGAATAACTAAAGAGAGTATTACGGTACGTCAAAGGAACTATTAATTTCGGCCTACGAGTCAGGAAGTCATCCTCAAGGGAAATTCATGCCTTCTCTGATTTTGACTGGGTCGGCTGTCCGGAAGATAGAAAATCCACAAGTGACTTTGCTATTTTTCTTGGATCTAATCTAGTATCATGGGTCTGCAAGAAACAAAGAAATGTTGCTAGATCTTCTACTGATGCTGAATATAAAGCTCTAGCAGATGTTTGTGCTGAAGTGATTTGGATCATGTCTCTTCTGCGTGAAATCCGTGTTACAGGGATCTCGGTTCCCAAATTATGGTGTGATAATCTTGGAGCTACATATATGTGTGCCAATCCCATCTTCAATGCCCGCACCAAACATGTAGAGTTAGATTATCACTTTGTGTGAGATAAAGTTGCTACTTGAGAGATTCAAGTAAATTTCATCTCAACAAAAGATCAACTTGCAGATATATTCACCAAAGCCTTGCCTGGTCCTAGATTTTCTTTTCTCAGAGACAAGCTACAAGTTACAAGTGTACCATGCGCTTGAAGGGGAGTATTAGGACTAGTATTAGGATTCTTGTATTTGAGTCATAGTATAATTCCCTATTCTAGTCTTCCTATGATTCCTCTTGTATATATATTCCTCGTGTCTGTACAATTTTAATTAAGTTCATTCAATACAATTCATACAGTTTTCATCCTTTCAACCCAAATCTCTAACATATTACCTAGGTTCTCCTCATTCAGTATACATATCAAATCCATGTTATATTGTAGCAATTTCAAACTACCATTCCAATAGCAATAAATTAGTGCTCCTACTTCACAATACCCTAAATGTTTTATCCTATCCTTCAACATTTCTAAACAAACTTCCTTAGCTTTCATTCTGTCATACACTTCTACATCACCACCCAAATATTTAACTTCACCAACTCTATTTATTATTCCATTATGGAAAAGGAAAACTGAAAAAGGTCCAACTCGATTACCTGTAAAGCAAGCATTTACACATGAAACAGTCAACATAGTGATCCCCATAGAACACAAAACAATAAAGCTATACAGAAATGGTTCATAATCCCAGTTTATGCACATAGCATATTGACAAAAGTATAAATATAGTGGTGGTCCCCACAGAACACAACACAATAACACAAATTATTCAAAAAACTATACTAGAAATGATCCCCACAGAACAAAACACGAGTACAAAATATATTCTATTCATATATAATGCACACGTCAAACCCTAGATATGCTTTACTGTCATTCTACTCCACACACACAAAACACTCAACCCAAACAATAAATATTGTTATACACTATCAATTTCATCCAGTTCTAACTGTTAACAATGTATTTCTTACTTAGTTGTAGACCCATTTCAGTCGTAGATGATGAATTACGCATCGTATGATACGAATTAGCCATACGCAGAAGAGGATGTCCAGACGCAGTACACGAAGTCTAGTCGAAGATGATGTCCAGATGCAATTGACGGATTCGTTGCTTTCGTATGAGAAGGACGAGGTTCTAATTGTTCTTCGCAGTGCAGTGTAGAGTATAATTTGGTAAAATTTGATTTAGGATATTAGGATAGTTGACCAAGTAGAATGCCCAGCGACCGGATGAAATCCGCCCCCGCCCCCCGCCCTTCTTTTATCCCTTGCAATGACCGTTTTGCCCTCGTCAAAAAAAATTCGAACGCAATTACGTTTTTCCGGTGAAAATTGGCCGGCAGGACCAAATGTGTTAACAATTGCATAGTTACATAATTAAATTGAGAGTTTTGAAAGTCAAGTACTCAAATTAACAGCACCCCAATAACCAAAGGACCAAAAGTGCAATTAATTCTTTATTCTATATACTGAGAATTGATTTAGAACAATCTGATAACACGTTTTGAAATGAAACGTATCCTAGTGTGAATCATTGTATTGTTCTTATCGTAAAATTACACTGTCTATAACTCTTTACAATAAAGTAGAGAGAATACAAAAATACAGAGAATACAAAATTTATATATATATATATATATATATATATATATATGTATATATATATATATATATATATATATGTATATATATATATATATATATATATTACTTTGGTGTTGGTAGATTATTATATATCATTGAATTAGTACTAAATACTATAAATATTTTAAAAATGGTTAATATGTATCAATGATTAAATATTTACTTTAAAATTAAAGCAATCATCTTTAAAACAAACCATATCAGCAACTATTATTATATGTATCAACAAGGAATTTTTTTTAATGCCTCAATGCAAAATAGAAAATGCAGAAATATTTTGGTAATAACAATAAGACTAAATAATAGTAGCAATTGTACTCAGAAAATAATAATAGTAATTCTAAATTTGTACCATCATATGGTGGTATGAGAGTTAAAAATATGGAATTTTTCCATTAAAATGATAGAATTTAAATATTCTTTCTCATTAATATTTGACGTCTCAATGCCTCAATCTTTTGAAATTTAATTAGTAGCCCTGGTATCAGATGATTTTCTCCATTTTTACACATAATCAATGAAAATAAAAGTCATTTTCCTTTATGTTATGCACTTCATTTGTACATTTCATACTTTTTTCTTCTTATTAAGTATTTCTTTGTATTAATTTATAAAAAAGAGGTTGTATAACCTCACCAAATACATGGTAAAAATTTATGTTTCTTCCTATTATGTTTTTCTTTGTATTAATTTATTTTTAAAATATTACTTCTCCCCAACATTATATATCGTTATGAGACATTTGGTGTCTTTTAGGTAAGATCCGTTTTTTTCAAGTATCCGTTTTTTCTCTTTAACGTTAAGCCCTCACGCTCTTTCTCTCTTTACATAATTATGATGCTTTTGCCTTTTCCGTATGAACTTCTTTGATAAATTCGGGTAGGATTTTAGTTTTTCAGATTCATTTCAGTCTCACAAAATTTCTACAAGGTTTCCCAATGTCTTATTTCATCAATGGTGCCGACATATATTCAACATATGAATCAGAAGCATCAAGGTATATCTCTCTCTCTCCCTCTCTTTCTCTCTTGATGATGAGTTTTCATTTCAATTACGAAAAATAACTTTCTTAAAAATATTTATGATAGATCTATGCAAAAGATGGTTTTTATAAACTCTGTTGTTGAACTTGCGGTAGTAGGTCATTCTGATTTTGACAATAATTCATTAACTAGATGTTCAACAAATTCATGTATATTAGATAATATAGTGTGCTCAATTTTTTCATAGATCTAAGGAGTTTGACATTGTGATCTATCTCTTTTATGAAGTTGTGTACTTATTTTGTTTGAACACTAAATATTTAATAAATCTACTTGTATTCGATATTGAAATGGGTAGATCATATATAATTAGATTAGACAAAATGTAGTTGAAAAGTTCATGAATAGAAAAATTTTACAAAACATGAGAGAAATTTTCTTGCAATCCTGGTATTAGAGTTTTCTACCAACATTACCATTACTTTTTTTTTTTTTTTAATGTAAAGATTAGCGTTTTTTTTTTCCTTGAAAAAATTTCTTCTCTCTTTTGTTTTTCATTATTTATTTCTTTATTTCATTTTCTTATATATACAATAAGTAGAAAGAATTTCAACATTTCTTCTACCAAAAATTGCACATATTCAGCTTCAAATTTCCATTCATTCAAGTAGATATATAGTAACATTAAAATTTTGTTGCCCAAAAGTTTTTTCAATATTTTATTTAAAATTTTGACCCAATCATCCAATGAAAGAAAATTTCCATTCCACATTAAAGTTTTTAAATTTAGGCATACTACAACAACAATGATCAATAGTTTATATAAAATTTTCTCAATCCATCTCAAAAGTGATAGAATATGTGCTTGGTATTTCATTGTTTCGGTAACTTTATATCTCTATGTGATATAATTCAATTAAAATAATAGCTAAGATTAGATATTTATGACTTTTGGTCTAAATTAATCACAAGGTAGAAAGTTTAATTTTGACCTATTGTTCCTATATTATCTGACATAGGTGTTGTTTTACTTATCTATCATTTGTGTTTTGCTCTTTAAAAAAATTTATCAAAGCTGAATTATAATTAGGTAGTATAAATATATGAACAATTGTAACTTATAATCATATCAAATAAAGAATTATAGTGTTACTAAACGTATGTCTATATTACTTAAAAAAGATAATATATAAATAATTTGCATTTAAATTATCTTCATGTTTAGAAAATACATATACACAGATGCTTGTATAATAGATAGTCATAGCTATTTTTATATAAAAAATTTGAAAATAAGAATAAAGTGATTTTCAAAAGAAATTATTTTGAAACATTTGTACAATATTACCAGGGTTGTGCCTAACTCTGCATCTGAAAGCCCACTCCCAAAAATTTCAGAGGTTTGTTTACTTTTCATAACAAAACTTTTTTTATTTATTTTTATATTTTAAAATCACGTGTTTTAAATTCTTTAAATTCTTTAAATTCTTAATAATATGATATATATATGTAGGGGAGACTGACTGACACAGTCCCTATACAATCATTACCATTCGGGCACCCCACTACAATGATATGGTCTATTCCATCTCCAATGAATTCGTTGAACTCTTTTAACGAATATTCATATCATATTACTGGAAGCACAAGCCAACCAGTGATGGTATATATTTCCCCATTTCATTATAATTTGTTCTTAATTTTATGAAATTATTTCTAATGGTTTTATTTTAATTTTAAAATTTTAAGGCTCAAATTGAAAATGCACATTCAACAATTCCACCGACAAGCAATCCACCGAACCTGTCTCCTATCGTATGGCTTTTAAACAATGTTCTTTCGACTCTGTTTATAAATATTTACGTTATGTATAGAAAATAGATTTTTCTATTATTGTTAGAATATATGATGTAGTAAATTTTGAATGATAAATATTTATACTAACTTTTAAATTATGTTTATTGATGCTCTTATAAAGGAGTTTAGTTCCAAACATTATTCTGGTATAAGTACATCCCAAGGGAAAAGATCAAACCACACTAACCAGGTAACTTTATTAGTCAATACATATATAATAAGTTGAAGTTTTATAGTAGTTTTTATTAGAATGTTTTAAAAGAATAGAAATTATTTTTTGCATAGGCTACTTTTAATCTGAAATATATTTTTAAAAAAATTCCCCAAAAATTTATCTTTTATTATATTTCCAAAATTAAAAAAAAAAAAAAAAAAAACCAGGTTGAAGTTGTTGCTAATAAGAGCGGGCAAGAAGGAAGTCTGCAGTCAATAATTTACCAGGGATTATCCACCAACACTCCAAATAACAATTTACCAGAGATTTCTAGTGCTTCAATGTACGTACAACATTTCTTTATATGCTTGATTAATTGTTTTTTTTGTTTTTATTTTTATTTTTATTTTTTATCCTCATTTCCTAATTATTATAAGTTTGTGTAGGCCCATTATGAATGGATTGTATGATCCTCAGTACCAAGAATTTGGCTTACCAGTTGATCCTCATCTTCGATGCTTGATGTTAAATCCAAATTTCATGCATGGTAACGTAAACAAATATTTTTATATGTACATTTTAACGTTTATATATGTTTATAAATAGTTGACTCCGTTTTATTTATGTCTTTAAATAGTTTACTTATATGCAATTGTTTATGAAATTGCAGGCCAAGTGAATCCCCGGTTTTCCAAGAATAATTAATGATCATCACCAGACATTACTTTGGATGATTTGACCGAGATAGCAATTAATAAGAAGCTGAACATAAGAAAACTCTGGTTGAAACAATTTTTATATTTCTACATACTTTGTCAAACAAAAGTTTAGTTTCTATTCGCACTATTTCATCAACTAAAAATACTAGTTCTATATATATGGATTTTATAAATGCTTTGATTAGATCCCTTTTAGACTTTTAGTTGGCTAAATCATATCCTTTGGCAAATTAAAAAGTCTTAGAATGCACGTTTCGTAATATAGAATATAATAGATGTATAGTATCTACCAAGTGTTAGTATAACCTGTCTTAAAACGAAAGTCTTTAAAGACACTATTTCAAGTAAGCTTATGCTTTAGGTTTTAGTATAGATATTAGTTCAAGGACAACAACATAAGTAGTTATATCACATAGAGATATTTTCAGATGAGAAATTTGTTACAAGAAGATAATTTAGAAAACATTAATCTTGAGGAAAGTTAGTTAGTTGTAGACATGCTTGAAATGACCATATTTATAATAAAAGTTAGTAGATTGATAGTAATACAAGTAAAAATAGCAGTAAGACTTCTTAATTAGCTCTAAGGTAGTAAACATCCTCTTTGTTGGTTCTAGACAAGCAGAAGGTCTTGAGGGTGGAGGGTGAGGGTGGGGGTTGGAGTGGGGTAAAATTGACTTTTTAAAACTTTTTAAAAAATATGATGAGATTTTTGAAGCGAAAGCCTTAACCTTGCCTTATTTGGTCATTTTGAACTTTTGCAATTGTTAAAGAAAAATGGTATGTGTTTGTGTTTGAGTTCATAAAAATTAATAGAAATAAAGTGAAAGGGATATAAAAATTGAGATTATATTTTTATAGTCGATTGGGAACTTCCACCTTACTTTTTTCGTTAATACTTGGAGGTTTCACTACGAATACAAGTCAAAGTATTGACTCATTATGTTTCAGTAGGTTGAGAAAGTATAGTAGCTATGACAAACCCCTCTTCAGTAGGTTGAGAAAGTAGCTATGACAGACCCCAACCGTTTTCGTTCACCAAGCTGCTGGATAGTGAGTGTCTTTTGAAAAGTACTGGATAGAGTTTTGGCAATTCTTGGAAGTTTAGAATTCGTGAATGGCTTTTTGAAATTACAATAACATAACAACAATTTTCTCTTATGTTCTTTTTATTACAAAAATACATTAAATATGAATGGTAATGGCTGTCGTTAATAGCTCTATGCCTCTACAAAAATCTATTGAAACCATACAAGCCAAAATAATTGTACACCTCATTGATCCATTGATTCAAAAATGATACTCGATATTATCAAATTATGGCAATATTGGAAAAATCTAAAATTGGTCATACATTATAATTTTTTATCCAGTTAGCGTGTTTTTTTGTTTTTTTTGTTTTTTTTTTTTTGTTTTTTGTTTTTTGTTTTTTGTTTTTTTTTTAGTTGTTTCAGTTAGTTTGATCTTTTGATAATTTTATTCTTTCTGTCCCTACAAAAAATAAAAATAAAAAAACAAAAAAAACCTCTCATAAATGACTTAATAATGAAAATAATACTTGAAAACAATAAATATTTAGAAGGAATTAATCAAATTACTGTTTAATATATCATTTATGAGCATAGAATACCAAATAGAGTTAATGTAAATTATATCATGAAAGATGAGGAAGAGTAGAAGGAAAAAAGAAAGGGGCCCGCAAGTATTTAAAATAAATGAGATCGTGTAAAGTCTGCAAAAATCTAACGTAACTATAATATTTTGAAAAAGCATTTACGGAGAAAGTTGGCAAGATTGCATCAATTTACAAGCATTAATTGAATTTAATTAGTTTGCCTTCATTATCATGCCATTTTAAAAATGAAATAAAAGATTTGTTACTGAAATTCAATTATTGTCTACCTTTAGATTCACTAACATAAGGAGTTATAAAAAAGGAAAGACAATTTGACACCTTCCTAAAAGTTTATGTTCACCCGTGATTAAAAATTTAAGTCATTCTATGTCAGAAATTTTTTTGACAATCATAACATTAGTGTTTTCTACCAATAGATTTTTGCTAACATTACCAATCCCTTTTTTAGATTACTTGTTTTTCTTTTCTTCTCTTTCTTTAGACTAGTACATATTTGACAATAGTAGGTTTTAGTGAAAGTATTTTGCATGTTTGGTAGTATGGTGGAATGGAAATGATTATCAATAATGCTGTTTGATTATGTATGATCATATAATGGATTAAAGATTTTAAAAATACAAGAACACAAAATCAAAACAATTGATTCTAATATAAAGACATCCAAAATACCAATATGAACAAAAAAATAAAAATAAAAAACTCTAAAAGCACTAATCAAAGGGGATGAGAAAGAATAAGAGAATGAAAGGGGATGTTACTCTTATTTTATTTGCGTATGGGTTTTTTAATTAAGGGGATATTTAAAACCCATAGTAGTGTTCTAAAACCCTATCAACCAAATAATACCAATCACTTTGATACTCATTCTTTAGACCTAAACCTGTCAACCAAAAACACCCTTAATTTTGTGATTTGTTTACGCTATTAAAAGTGGTCATACGTGGTTGAGGAATGAGGAATTTATGGAAAGGTAGCAGCCATGACATAAAAAAATTTTGTGCATGAAAATTATCAAGATTTTGATATTATATGGATCTATGGTAGGTAAAGAGGAATTATCTCGGGCAAACATGCCAATTCAAGTTAGTTAGGTTGTGATGGAATAATACGGAGCGGATCCGGAGTGAAGTAAATATGGAGCGAATAAGACCCGGTACCCGATATAACTACGCACGCGACCGAACAAACCATGGAGGGGTCTGCCACCCCAGGGTCCTCGGCCCCTGTGACCTCGGAGTACTCCTCGGCCATTACCACCGCGTCCAACATCCAACTGTCACAAACATATGATTTTTACAATATTTGTTACAATCTCACACTTCGTAATTTATAATATTATCAAATTACAACAATATTGGAAAAATCCAAAATTGGTAATACATTATAATATTTATCCAATTAGCGTTATTTTTTGTTTCAGTTTGATCTTTTGACAATTTTATTCTTTCTGTCCTTACACAAAAAAAAAAAAAAAAAAAAAAAAACAAAACAAAAAAAAACAAAAAACAAAACAAAACAAAAAAACGAAAACAAAAACAAACAAACAAAAAAAAGAACCTCTCATAAATGACATAATAATGAATATAATACGTGAAAAAAAATATTTAGAAGGAATTAATCAAATTATTGTTTAGTATATCGTTTATGAGCATTGAATACTAAAAGAGGTGCCTACAATTCAGCGAGGGGATTATTCACTATGTCTGACGGTGGAAACTCTAGGTATACCCAAAAAATAGAGTTAATGTAAATTATATCATGAAAAATGATGTGGGGTAGAAGTAAAAAATAAAGGGGCCGGCAAATATTTAAGATAAATGAGACTGCGTAAATGCTACAAAAATTTTAACGTAACTATATTATTTTGGAAAAACATTTATGACGAAAGATGGCAAGATTGCATCAATTTAAAAGCACTAATTGGAGTTAATTAGTGTTTGAGATTTGTTTACGCTATTAGGCATCCTCAATAGTAATAGTTATCCATAGTTTTTTTTTTTTTTTTTTTTTTTCGTTTTTGAGGTGCCAATTGAGATAGAGAGGAGGGAGAGAAAGAAAAACAAAATCTGATGCATTGCAGGAAAAAAAATAAACAAAACAAAAAAGAAGCAAGCCTATTGATGCGCCAGCCGGCACGTGTACTGCACGCGCCGGGTTGGGCAGTGTCTGTGCACGAAATGCGCAAAAATCACCCCTTGAACATTTCAAATTTTCTCTCTCCTCCACATCACTAATGTTTACCTCAAAAATTGAGCAAAATTCACTAATGTAGATGTTCTTAAAAGTGGTATGAGGAATTAGGAATTTAAGGAAAAGGTAGCAGCAATGACATAAAACATTTTTATGTCTATACAATTGATGCCTATACCCCGTCATCAACGTAACGCGTAGAAGGAATATAGAAAGGGGCCAACTAGTATTTAAGATAACTTCATGAGTTCGCGTAAAGGCTGCAAAAGTCAATAAACGTAAATATAGGATTGCATTAATTTACAAGCATGTAAGTTAATTAGTTTTGTGATTTGTTTAATTTACGCTATTAAAAGTGGTTATAGGTGGCTATTTTGTGGTACAATTATTAGAGGGGTATACCTCCGATTTGGGTCGTATATACTTTTATTTAAAAAAGAAAAATATACGGCGTCGGTGATACGTATTAATTAACCAACGTCCTATCTTAATCATTTAAAAATACGAGGTCGGTTTATAAACCTACTTCGTATATAATTGTTTTTAAATAAAAAACTATAATACATCGGTTAACACGGAAAATAAACTTATATGTTGTAGTATATACGTCGGAAAATCAATTTATTTATTTCATATTTATATTAATCTTTTTGTAATAAGTATTATGATTTCTATTATAAATAACAAGCAACTTAACTATTCGCGAATTGTGTCAACATCCTTGCCCACTTGATGAGTTGACCTGAAGAGGTAGAGGTTCTCAATATTACGCTAATTGGTGGGTCTGTTAATACATTCACCCGGATGGCCTTAGAATTAATTAAGTCATCAACTTCTTAGCAGCAATATACAACCCGAACACCACCTTTTCAAGTTAAGTGTAGCGCAACTCCAGTCCTTGCAGAGCGTAGCTTGCATAGTATACCAGTCTTTGAACACTTTGATCATCTTCTCGGCATAAGATCGTGCTGACTACTCAATGAGAAACCACTAGGTATACGTATAGAGTTTCATAGGTTTCGAGTTTGGAAAGTATGTTATGTTTCATATCACTTCTATAACAAAGAATAACCTTAAATGACTCGGACTATCGGGCTAGTCTGTTCGGGCCACCGGACTTATCGATTTCGGGCTTAACAAACTGATTTTTTATTTTGTTA